AAAGTTTTGTCAGGCAGGGGAAATGACCTCTGGATTTCTGGTTTTGCATTTGGAGGCTGTCCTCTTGTTGTCCCCTACCCTCCTCTCTCTCCCAGAAGAAACTGTGTGGATGCTACAACTCAGAGGTGTGGTGGGAACATGTCCTCCATCATCCTTACCATTCAAACCCTTCTGCAGCACCACTGTTTACAAACCACCAGCAGGGTGAAATACACAAATTACAGCAAAGAGCAGTTATTTCTCAGGAAAAGAAGTTTGAAAGTGACCTGGTGAAACAGGGCAGAAGCGTTCACCAGAAGCCACCTCTGCCAAGAACCCGTAGATGTTTGCTGCCCACTAGAGAACCCATGCTAAAATGTTCGTGGTTTTGCAGAACCAAGGGGTTGACATATCTGAAAATATTCTACAACAAAGTTTTACTAACCTTTCAGAGAAGAATGAGATCAATGATCCCTGCCGCTCTCTCATCTCTCTTTTAGAACTGAATTACTGGATAGAAAACGTGCAAACATAAAGGTGACCATACCAGTTAGGGCAGCAGTTCTCAACCTGTGGGTCGGGACCCCTTTGGCGGTCAAACGACCCTTTCACAGGGGTCGCCTAAGACCAACCTGCATATCAGATATTTACATTACGATTTGTAACAGTAGCAACATTACAGTTATGAAGTAGCAACGAAAATAATTTTATGGTTGGGTCACAACATGAGGAACTGCATTTAAAGGGCCAGAAGGTTGAGAACCACTGAGTTTGGGCATCTGTGTTACAAATCTGATGATAGTTACCTCTCCCCTAGTCTGCTGAAATTTATGCACACACAGCAGTTTTCATTTGTGATTCTCCACTACATTTTAGTAGGGAAGCATCCATACCCAGCTCATCTATTAGTTTGGGGAATAATGGCCACTCCCAACTTCTGGAGCAGTAAAATCCAATACCTTTTCTAGAGAGAGGAAATATGTTAATATTTGAAACCAAAGCAACTGCAAATATGTAGGTGAGAATAAATACATTGTTTTCTCCTCTGGATACATAATTACTTAAGGAGTCTCCTTCCCCAAAATAAAGTATTTTAAAGCTCACAAGTTTCTGGGGGAAAGAAAAAAAAAGCACCAAGTGCTTGTCCACTGTGTCTCAACACACTACTCAGTTATCCTTCATGTAGCCCTTACAACAATCCTGCCAAGGGTTGGTTGTTCTATCCTCTTTTTATAGACGAAGAAAGCTAGGCTCAAAAATGCTGGAACATTCCAGGATACACAGCTGGGGGCAGAGAGGAGGAAGAGCTGAGCCCTAAGCAGATAGGCCTTGCACCTGACAGTGTTTTCGGGACAAGAATCACCTGGCAGTACTTGTAGAAAATACAAAATCCAGGGTCACAGAGTCAGTCTTTAGGGTCCAAGGAACGTGTTTTTTCTTTTCTTTCTTTCTTTTTTTAAAAAAGAACCATGCTTCCTCCAACCCTCATCAACAGGAAAGCTTGGGAAAGACAGTACTTCACAGCCCAGCCAGGAGATTCGAACCCGTTCCATCCCTACATCTGCGGCTTCTCCACCAAGAGACCCCTTAAAAAAACACTCATATTTCTTCTGTCAGACCACCTCTCCTACGCCCCTCCACCCAGCCCTCCAAGTCCAGATCTTGGAATCTCCTTCTGTCCCTTCACCTCTGAATCCTGCCAATTTTTTTCTTTCTTGTAATATTTCATTTCCTGGCTGGGAATGGGCTCTAACCAGCAGACTTCCAGCCGGGCCTCTGAACTCGCAGCGGTCTCCAGCCGGTCTGGCTCCTTCCCAAGCCCCTCGGCTCGGGCAGCTCTCATCCCAACTCTGCCTCTTCCGTCGGTCGCGTTTGTTCCTCCGCTTGCAAGGACCTCTATCCTCTCCCGGCCCTTCCCATGTTCGGGGAACTCCTACACAGCCCGAGCGCCTCCGCTCCGGCTCTGGGACTGAACCCTGCCTCGCAGCGAGCTTCGTCCTCCTGGCCGCAGCCCCTGTCCCCTCCCCGCTCGCCTCCCCACCCGCCACCTGGCTTCGCCCCGGCAGCCCCGGGAGCCATCGGCACTTCCCAGAATAGAGAGCAGCTGCTAACGTCAGGCTGCCGCCCGCTGCGGGGTTCCCGGCGCACCGGGTGCGGGCGGAGGAGATGTGACTCCGCTCTGGCCTTCCGTCTCCCCACCCGGGCCGGGAAACTGAGGCCCAAGGCCAGGGGAACTTCCACGGGGTGCAGAGTACGTGAGGGCCGACCGGTCCAGAGCCCCAGTCGTCCCGACTCCTGTCCGCGATCCCTCGACCACACG